ACCTTGCTGCTTACACAATATAATGGGATAACATATGGCTATTTTTGCACCCATTCCACAAGGTAAACTTTTATCCCTGCAATCTCACCAGCAAAATCAAAACATTTGGGACAAATTACTCTGGTTTTATATCTGTCTATTTAACTTTTAAAAGTTCAAAGGTGGGGTTTAGTGTTGATTTAGTAGGAAGAGTAACACAAAAAATATGTGAATTAAGCCGAAACCGGTTTGGCTCGGTGGATAGAGCATCGGCCTGTGGAGTGAAGGGTCCCGGGTTCGATTCCGGTCAAGGGCAAGTACCTTGGTTGCGGGCACATCCCCAGTGGGAGATGTGCAGGAGGCAGCTGATCGATGTTTCTCTCATCAATGTTTCTAACTCTCTGTCTCTCTCCCTTCCTCTCTGTAAAAAATCAATAAAATATATTTTAAAAAAAATATGTGAATTAATTTATTCTTTTGTGAATATTTGCAGTGTGGAGCGTTATGATCCAAGTAAGGATTCCTGGGAGATGGTTGCATCTATGGCAGATAAAAGGATCCACTTTGGTGTGGGTGTCATGCTGGGCTTTATTTTCGTGGTAGGTGGACATAACGGTGTCTCACATTTGTCAAGCATTGAAAGATATGATCCTCATCAAAATCAGTGGACTGCGTGTAGACCAATGAAAGAACCCAGAACAGGTAATAATAATTTACTGATTTCGAACATAGAGGATAATATTTTTATAGTGATGTTCTTGGAATAGTAGTTCTTTGGAATATAATAGTAAAGAGTATTACTTGTTCAGAAAAAAACACACTTTTGTGGTAAACTTGCAAGACAACGAGATTAGACAAAACCACATAGATTTCTTTACTGTGGTTTTAATATGCCAGTGTGCATATTATCATTTCTTAAACTTGGAGAACACATTTTGAGATATGCTGGTAATAGAATGTATCTTATAGAAACTCTTTTTGTCCATATAACAAATGTCATCTTTTTATATGTTATACACATACACAGACACAGAATCCTTGGATGTTCTATTTTGTTTTTTATTTCACATCAGCACCTCTATATTCACTTTCAAATGTCCTCTCCTCCTCAAGGGGTATAGTTAAGAAAAGTCTGAATTTCAAGGTTCCTAGAGAAAAACAATTACATTAAGGAAAAGAAGAAATTACCTTTCAGTTCTACTAAGTAACATCATTTTAAAGGGAAAGTTTTAAGTTACTGATGGAATATGTTAGTATTCTTTGCTTTTGTGATTTAAGAAATTGTGAAACATAAACATACAAAGGATACTGAAAGGAACAATGGAATGAACTCTTAGTTGTTTACTATAGTTTGTGTAGCATCATTGCGAGAGAAAGCCATAAAAAAAGAGAATGTAAAAAATTTAGGCATCCTTGTTCTTTTTAAAACTATAAAATATAAAGTAAAATTTTTAGAGCATAAATTATGTAGCTCAATAGATACTTTTGAATATTTCAATATATAGGTTTCCCCTTCTCCTCAAAAAAAGAGCATTATTATGAAACCTTTTCTAAACCGAAGTGGCTAAAGCCTAGAAGCAGTTACCTTAGGTGGCTTGATGCTGAGTTGCTGAGGGTAGTTCCCAGGGAAAGAGCTTGTCAGTGTCACTCTTGCTGCTTGGTGCATGCTGCCTCTATAACAGTTTGCTGCAACAAAATAAATGCTGAATGCTAGTTTTGCTTTTTGCTATTTTTTTGTAAAAACAAAAATCCTCTTCAGATTTCTTTTGATTAGTGAAACAGGTACAATTGACCCATGAAGAACATGGGTTTGAACTGCTTTAGTCCACATATACATGGTTTTATTTGTGTGGTATTTTCTTCAAAAAATACTGTATATACTAGTATATTTTCTATTCATTATGATTTTCTTTTTTATTGAAATTTTTACAGAAAGGAAGGAAGAGGGATAGAGAGTTAGAAACATCGATGAGAGAGAAACATCTATCGGCTGCCTCCTGCACACCCCCTACTGGGGATGTGCCTACAACAAAGGTACATGCCCTTGACCAGAATCGAACCTGGGACCCTTCAGTCTGCAGGCCGACACTCTATCCACTGAGCCAAACTAGTTAGGGCCATTATGATTTTCTTAATATTTTTTCTCTAGGTTACTTCATTGTAAGAATACGGAATATAATACATGTAATTACAAAATATGGGTTAATCAACTGTTTATATTATTGATAAGGCTTCCAGTCAGTAGTAGGCTCTTAAGTTTTGGGGGAATCGAATTTTTTACTGTGCAGGTGTTGGCACCCCTAACCCCTTCATTGTTCAAGGGTCAACTGTAATATAGGTCTTTTGTAAAGCAAAATGGTGTAACGTGAACTTTGAAAAATGGGATACTTGTATTTGAAAACTTGATGAAAATGAATAATTTCTTGAAAAAAATATGTAGATATCAATGAGAAGAAAACATATGAAAAGATATATACTGCATTCTTCTTTTAAATGATTGTTCATTATTCATTAAAAACGTTGAGGCCCTGGCTGGTTTGACTCAGTGGTTGGAGCATTGGCCCGGCCCATGGACTGAAGGGTCAATTCTGGTCAAGATCACATACCTCAGTTACAATCTCGATTCCCAGTTCTGGTCGTCACGTGTGGGAGGCAACCAATCGATATGCCTCTCTCACCTCAATGCTTCTTTCTCTCTGTCTCTCCTCCACCCTTCCACTTTTTCTAGAAGTGAATGGAGAATATTATTGGGTGAGGGTTAAAAAAAACACGTTGTGTTACAAACATTCCGATTAATAAATAGTTAAGGTGGGTGGTATAGTATACTGCATTCTCTTTTTTTTCTTTTTTTCTTTTTTTACTCATCCAAGTCTTTATTAAGTACTTACCATATGAACAATTTGGTGCAGATATTAAAGGAATACAAAGATGAATTTTAAAATGGTGCCAACTCTCAAGGAGTTTGCAATCTAATAATAGTGACAGATAGTTTAACACAAATTGTAGGAAAGGAATTACTGCATTTATTTATTTATGTGTGTGTGTGTGTGTGTGTTGATCTTCACTCAACAATATTTTTTCCATTCATTATTTTTATTATTTTACAAAGAGTGGAAGGGGATGAGGGGGAAGGAGAGAGAGAGAGAGAGAGAGAGAGAGAGAGAGAGAGAGAGAGAGAGAGAGAGAGAAACATTGATGTGAGAGAGACACATCGATTGGTTACCTCCTACACACGCTCCAACCTGGGCAGGGATGGAACCTGCAACCAAGGTACGTGCCCTTGACTGGGACTATAGCCTGAGACCCTGTGGTGTGCGGGCTGATGCTCTAACCACTGAGTAACCCTGGTCAGAGCTGCTTTTTTAAAAGAAAATGTTTTATTGATTTTAGAGAGGAAGGGAGAGGAAGAGAGAGATAGAAACATCGATTTGCAGCCTCCTGCATGCCCCTACTGGGGATCAAGCCTGCAATCCAGGCAAGTGCCCTGACTGGTAATCCAACTGGTGTCCTCTTGATTCACAGGTGTACGCTCAACCACTGAGCCACACCCACCGGGACAGGGCTGTGTTTTTAATATTTTTCTGTGGTGTAGGAAAGGGAGAGTATGATTGGGGAAAAGAGGTGAAGGAAGCCTTCAGCTCTTACTTTACTTTTTTATTCAGGGATATTTTCCCAGTGGGCTCATCCTATAAAAACCTTAACATGAAAAACGACCGGTCACTATGACACGCACTGACCACCAGGGGCAGACGCTCAACGCAGGAGCTGCCCCCTGGTGGTCACTGTGCTACCATAGGGGGAGCACCGCTCAGCCAGAAGCCAGGCTCACAGCTGGCGAGCACAGTGGCGGTGGTGGGAGCCCCCCAGCGTCCACTGCAGGCGGGCGGTAAGGAGTGAGAGGTCCCAGACTGCGAGAGCCCCGGACTGCAAGAGGGATATCTGACTGACGGCTTAGGCCCGATTCCCGGGGGTATCGGGCCTAAGCTGGCAGGTGGACATCCCCTGAGGGGTCCTGGACTGCGAGAGGGCACAGGCTGGGCTGAGGACCCCTCTTGCCCGCCCCACCCCCCCCACCGTAGTGCACAAATGTGCATCAGGCCTCTAGTATTACTATATTGCTTGTATAATTAATAATGGATTGTTGAAATGTATTTTAAGAAAACATTAAAATACAAATTCACTTATTTTTAGTGAGAAGTCTACTAGATGCTTAACGTGTTTTTTTCCCCATTTTTATTCACCTTTCCTAGGAGTTGGTGCTGCAGTAATCGATAACTACCTTTATGTAGTCGGTGGTCACTCAGGGTCTTCCTATCTGAACACCGTGCAGAAATATGACCCTATCTCAGATACATGGCTGGATTCAGCTGGCATGATATACTGTCGCTGCAATTTTGGGTTAACTGCACTTTGACAAGTGTGGACTCATGGAAATAGTGAGGTGAAGAACTTCGTGCCGCATAAAAGGAGCCCAATTTTCTGAAACCCCAAAGCTGCATTGCTTTTTAACTTGAAATGTCATGAAGACTCAACATTTTGTTGGGTACTTTGAACTGACAAGTAGCTTTGGTTGCTCTTGATTACAGTGAATCAATAATCAAAAAAAAAAAAAGGAAAGATCTTGCCAATTGAATTGTGCACTTTTTTCCTCTAATACTGGCATAAAGTAGTTTCTTTTAATTTTATTTATTGCTTTTAGAGAAAGAGGAAGGGAGAGGAATAGAGATAGCAACATCGACGAGAGAGAAACATCGATCGGCTGCCTCCTGCATGTCCCGCATTGGGGATTGAGCCTGAAACCCAAGCATGTGCCCTAACCAGGAATTGAACCAGTGACCTCCTGGTTAATGGATTGATGCTCAACCACTGAGCCACACCAGCTGGGCTGACATAAAGTAGTTTTATGTTCATAAGTGTACATGTGAAAAACTTGGTTTTTAAAAATATTTTTAGCTCTCTCCCTCCTTAATATGCACCATGATTACTAGGATGAATGATGTTTAGATGCTGGAGTGTAGTGAATGTCTGGACAGAGTACTGATACTGTCTATTGGATATAAGTTCAAATGCTTTACATTTTAAATAAAGGGCTGCACTTTTTTGGTACTTTTAAGGGGTATAAATTACACGCTCTAGTGAATCACCTGGACATTCTTCCTGCTAAATGGCTTTAGGGCTGGGGCTGTAATAACTTTGCAAAACAAATGCTTTTACTATCATGATATTTGGGGGCCTATTAAAAGATATTTACTGTTTATATCTTTTTTACGTGGGCAGGTTAATGCTGGAAGAAGCTACTTATCCAGTTCTGCTATGCTAAGCATGGATCAGTTTATTTTTTTAGTAGTACAGCAAGCTTCCCAGTGTTGATGCACATAAATGACAAATATTTAGTATTTAGTATCACCCTTAGTGCATATTGATTTTTTTTATATCTCCTTATAATAATTTCAGGTTTTAAGACATTTGTTTGTGTTTTTAGATATAAAAATGGTGCTAATGTAGGAGCTATAACAAGGCTATAACGATGTTCTTTTGGATGTTCTGTATGAAATTTGCATGACATGTTTTGATAGTATTTTTCATTTTGACTGGCTTGATTTATTTGTGCTTATTAAAAATGTTAGTGAATATACTAATGTTAACATCCAAAAATTATCTAAATGATATTCTATGCTTTCCATGGTTCCTGAATAATGATTTAAAGAAAGATACATTTTTTTATCTTCTTTCTTGTGCTAGATATTACATGTCCTTCTAAAAAAACAAAAATATATGCATTAAATATAAAGCACTAGGCAGTTATGCATTACTCCACATTTCTTGGTAACTGAATATTTTAAAGTCATTGAGGAAAACTGGAACTCATTGTTTACTTGAGTAATGGTTCTAAATTTGGTTCTACTTTGACTAAAGAAATGATCTTTTAAAGCAAAATGGTTTGCTATTGCCAAGTGACAGCTTATTTAAAAGAAGTGGATGATTCATTTTGTTTTAGCATGTTTTACTAAATGTCCATTAGACTTGAACACATTACCTTGCATTTTATTAGGATGTCGGTACTTTTATTTTTGTTACTATAGTAATTTCATTTTCTTTTCCATGATTTTTTTTACTTGTCCACCATCTCTTTATAGTCTAAAAAACCAGTGAATATTTGTAAGAAAAATTATACTGCATTCTTAAGTGCCATAAGGTTCTAAACTATTGTTAAGAAGCCATTTGTAATTATAAAACGTAAGTTAATTTGTTAGCATACATGTTATTTCTTAAAAACTGTAGCTGGCAATTTGCTGTTTTCCTTGTTCTTCCATAAACTGCCAGTTGTAGATTTAAATATATACTACCAAATTATTTAAAACTCATCTTTAAACACAAGTAGTATCATGCTTTATGAATATTTGCACAGATTATAAAACCTTGCAAGTGATTTTTAGTCTCTTGTAAGTAAGAACTCAACAGGAGCTACTAATAAACTTCACAGGCTATTTTCTATGTTGCTTGTTTAAATCACAATGATATATAGCAATAACTTTTTAATTGATTTAAATACATTTTGTGATAGAAACAAGGTGCATTATTGTGATTGGCCTAGACTTTATTTAAAGAAAAGCAATTTAAAATGGATTCCATCACATATTTGATTTAAATTTCCCAACTCAATTATCTTTCTATTTATATCAATAAAGTTGTTAAATACATCCTGTTATTCTATATTTAATCCTTTCTCCCTAGAAGGGAATTTGAAAGACTAGAAAATTATTTTAATCGTAAACAGTGCTATACTACACATTTTATTTTAATTCTGTTTTATTCGATGTATCAGTGCCACTCTCAAATTAAAACAGAATATATAAATCATTTGGTAAATTAGATCAAAAGCATCTCTTAATAGTTGTTTTGGAAAAAATTTGAATTTCATGTTGAAGAAGACTAATTGTGAAATATTTGGGGCAATAATAGAAGCCATATACCAGAGAAAAAATTATGAAAACCTATAAAATAAAGGGAAAAAAGAAAACATATTTAGAAATATTTATTTCAGGTTTGCTAATGCTGCTGTACTATTCATAACAACCATAGGTATTAATGTGATTTGACAACTAATAACTATACAGTAGAACCTTCTTGTACAGATTTATGAGAAGTTTCATTATGAATACTCGGCTGATAAATTATGAATTTAAAGTCACATGTTTCTGATGCTAAAAAGGATAAAGATATTTGACTATAAATTCACAGGGTTAAAGATGTTAGACATAATTTTATATAATCAAGGAGAAGACAGCTAATTAAGATTGCCCACAAATATTTTTTTAAAAGTGGCAGTGAGAAATAGAGATTGTCTAATCAGTTGGAAGATAATTGCCTTTTATGATTACTTTATGAGGACATAATCAGTTAGGAATGTTTGGCTATTTAGTATTTGCTGACTATAGTAATAGAACTTAAGTGATTTTTAAAGTAGACCAAAGGATATTTATGTAAGTTCTATATGTTATTGCTGATATTGTTTTAGATATGAATGAATATAAAATTATAGGAAGTGTTATCAAGTGATAGAAAAACGGCATTCATTAGGTTTTGAAAATTATTTTGATAGCTTGACAAATATGGAGGGTCTACTATCTGTATGAGATATTGTGCTAGATGCTATAGAGGCTAGAAATATAAATAGGATATAATCTTTTCATTCAAAGAATAAAATATAGTGAGGGAGACCTATACCCAAATAACTATAGTGATAAAGTGTGAATCTAATTCCTTAACTCCAACATAATAAGTAATTAGAGACCCAGTTTATGTATAAACATTTGTATCCTTTCGTGTTCAATTAGGTTTTATTGGCATGAAAAAGATTTATAAAAAAACCTAAAATATATAGAATTCCAAATTCCCTGGAATTTGATAATATGTTTTCTAGTAGGCAAACAAAATCATAGAAGCTTAAAAAAATACTATATTATCAATGCTCTGGCTGATACTGAAGGAAATATATGTACATATAATGTTCTGTTTGTTTTCAGTTTTGGTGTTGGATTTCTGGTATTGTCACCTAAGTGCTCATTTTCAGGAAAATAAGATTCCACCATAAATATACTGCTTAAAGTTCAATAAACTGGTGATAACCTCTATAACCTCTGTAGTTTGAAAGTTAAGAATTATAAGATATCACCTGTCAAGTTAACATCCAGTTCTACCTTTTAACCTTTTTTTTTTTCTTTGTAAAACAGCACTTTAATTAGACATTTGATTAGATGCAATTATTCTGTGGCTGGATAGAAATTGGATTTTCGCTTACAGTATATTGATTCAGTGTTGATACATATTTGAAAAGAGTGAGGACTACAATAAGTTTTAAAACTATAGGTTTACAAGTTTTCTTATTGGTGTGAATATGGAGTCAAATAAAAATCCAGTTTACATCTCTGCAGAGAGAAAAATTGTTATCCATATGTCTTTTATATTACACATATTTAAGTAGGGATATTTATTGTTACTTTTGTCAGGTTATCATGTGTAAGTCCCTTTTATTTTAAAATACCAAGCAAAAAGTTCCAAGTTTGCCTTAAAATACAAGTGAAATAAAAGAACTGGATAATAATGCCTATATTTTTGCCTTATGAATTGTGCTGTATCATAAACCAGAGATGGTTTTGATTTTAACAGAATTCTGAAATTTTATAGATGTAGAGTACTATATATGTACTCTCTTGCAAAGAATGTGATCTAGTGTGGATTATGTTAATATTTAAATGTTTTTGTATGTGTATTTTACCTCTGAATAGTTATCTTTTTAGCATCAGGGTTTCATTTTAATTTTGTTTACATAGTAAAGTGGCATTAACTTGTTGAAGGTTGTATTCTTTTGTCTTATTTTAAAAGTTCTTTGTATGTACTATTGTGGTAATGCTCTGTAGTGACTATGTTTAGAATAAATTTGAAAAACATTACTTTGTATGTGTCAATTGTTGTGAACTGACCTAAACTAACTTCTTTATGCTCAACTCTTAGATTCTTCTTGGTAGATAGGTCGTAGTCACAAAAGTTGAGGTAAGTGTAGGATAGCCATTCATTAACACACTTATTAAAGAAACATTTATTAGCAAAGCAGGCACAAGAGTTTAGTGGGTAAGTTCAATGCTGGCCCTGCTTTCTATCCTTTAGATTCTCTAACCCAGGGGTGGGCAAACTTTTTGACTCGAGGGCCACAATGGGTTCTTAAACTGGACCGGAGGGCCGGAACAAAAGCATGGATGGAGTGTTTGTGTGAACTAATATAAATTCAAAGTAAACATCATTACATAAAAGGGTACGGTCTTTTTTTTTTTTTAGTTTTATTCATTTCAAACGGGCCGGATCCGGCCCGCAGGCCGTAGTTTGCCCACGGCTGCTCTAACCAGTCTTTAAGAAGGTTTACTTGAGGCAGACAAGGTAGCAGTCTAGAGGATTTTGTTACCTTATGGCCAGCGTCAGGTAACCAGCAGTCCTCCTTAAAGAGAGGCTGAGCTCCAGGTGCCATCTTTAAGGGAGTTGTAAACTATAGATTTGAATGGATTCAGATAACCTGTCCATGTAAGGATTAGAAATGTCTCATATTTTTAGATAACCCATAGTTTTGAAAAAGGGCTTTTACTTTCATTCTTGTTTTTCTTTTATTTTTAGAGAGAGTAGAGGGGAGGAGGAGAGATACAGAGAGAGAAACATCACATAGATCAGTTGCCTCCTGCACAGGCCCTGACCAGGGCCAGGGATTGAGCCTGCAAGCAAGATACATGCCCATATCCAGAATTGAACCTGAGACCCTTCAGTCCACGGGCCAACGCTCTATCCACTGAGCCAAACCGGCCAGGACTCATTCTTGGATTTTAATGTATGTTTGTTTTTTTTGTTTTTTACTTAGCCTAAAAATCTTGGTTTCTATCAAGATGGCAGGGAGTAGCTGGATGTTACACTCACCTCCTAGGACCAAACTGGCATCACTGTGCCCCATAGCCTATATAATAAAGAGGGAATATGCAAATTGACCATCACTCCACCACAAAGATGGCAGCACCCACAGTGGAGGCGGGGGTTTCCATAACACAAGATGGCTGCGCCCACAACGGAGGCGGGGTTTCCGTAACACAAGATGGCTGCACCCACAGCGGAGGCCAAGTTCCTGTAACGAGCCTTAACAAGCAATCAGCAGGGACCTGAGGCTACGCCCCCCCCACCCCCGTGGGGCTTGACAGGGGACCTCAGGCCATGCCCCCCACCCTGGTGCCAGGCCAGGGGACCTCAAGGCGCGCCCCCTGGCCCAGGCTGGGGGACCTCAGGCCGCG